TTCGAATTAATGAGCATTGAATTTTGAGAATGATAATTTCTGCTTCAGAGAATTGGTTTGATTGGTGAAATTAGTTTATGATTCAGCGAATGATAATTTAATGTTATATGTAGCATGGGAGAATCTCAGTTCATCATAATCAAACTAAATCTGAATGATTGAGATTTAAAATTGATCAGAAATTGTATTTCTGCATTCTATAAATATTTCTTACTGTTATACCTGCAAAGCCAAGTTCTTCAATGTATCAACAAGATATAATAATTATAGAAATCATACCCCGACTTTGGCAAAACAGCGTACTATATACATTTTCTTCAGACTAATAATAAGAAAGTTTAACTTCTAAATAGCATTTAATGCTTTTAATTTCGATAGTGATTAAAGTAACTCAAACTAATGAGATTATAATGCTATATACAGACGAAATTGTTGAGTTATTATAACATGGGGTGTAATGGTTTTTGTAGAGAAGTAAAATTTGAAAAACCCATGAGAATCACCAGGTTGCTGAATCACTCATAACATTTACTATGTTGCCTTTACTGTTAATTGGAATAGCAGATTAATCGTTTGAGCGTTTTTTCAGTTTTTAAATATTGTTATTGTTTTTTGAAGCGTGACATTATCAAATGGTTAGAGTTTTCTCAGTGACTTTAAATCATAAATAACAAATTTATCATGGTTTTACGACAGCAACGCCTCTATAAACGTTGTGTATCATATGAATGAGTGTTCGTATATGGGTGTACTATATTTTTACATAAGCTAGAACTAGTGAAAAATAACACTATTTAATGAACGCATTGCTGTAGTTCTTAGCTTATATATGTACCTGGTTATAAAGATCCAGGCTATGCGCATCCAGCGAAGTTTCGTTCACAGCATCGGCTAACTTGTTCAACTAGAATGCAAACAATAATTATTACGATTATTTAAATTATTTTGCAAAATTCCGTAGGAAAGAATATTACCAGAATAGTTAGATAATTTTTTTTGTTAAGTACATATTTTGTGCATAAATATACCATTCACGTAGTCAATTCTCTACCATTCATTTAGGAAGTACATTTATGTTGAGTTCTGGGAGTAGTTTTTTTTGTAGTTGCGAGCTGGCAAAATTCGTTACTTAAGAAGGACTTGTGAGATTCCTTTTGGATTAATTATTCCCTATTTCTTCCTTTTGAATATATTCTTTTTGAATGCACGTTAAAGGTTTCATGTAATTACCTAATTTCCCGAACCAAGATGCAGGAATCCGCACTGAAAAATCTCAAAACAATGGTCCAGTTTCCATTCATGACTCATATTAAGCCGTAACTGGTCTCCAATTTTCGGATACTCGAATTTCAGGTAAAAACTCAAAACAATGACCCACATTCGATTCATGACTCACATTTCGCGTTAACTGATCTCCCTCTTCTATCTCTATCGGATTGCATGGGTTCAGTTCTACGAGTACCTTTACTCGGTACGAATGTAACGCTGTGAAATTATACAGACTGACAAGGGATAACATGCTAATATTCTTACTAAATTTTAGTCAAAACCTTGACCCATCTTTCACTCATGACTCACATTGCGTGTAAACTCATCGCCTGTGTCATAGATGAAGAGCAGAAGCGCTGCAATGACAGCGGCTGGCAAGAGCCCTTGGTTAGAATGAAGCGTGAGCGTCGAGAAACAGAAGAATGTCATGTTGCTCACGCTGCCAACTATGATGAATGTCATGCTTAAGGTGTAGCTCCGAGTTAGCTCGTCCTTAACCCTTCCAGCCTTCAAAATTAAGTTCAAAATTCATTTATTTTTATTATAGGTTTGCTTTAAGTAATGTTCCATTTAATGTTTCATTCGATTTCTTCATGAATTTGCAATTATATTAAATGAAGATAAAAATTAAAGTTATTCATGTGAATAATATTCAGAACTCCAAAAAAGATGCTGAGAAAAAAAAATAGGGAAGGATGATTTGACAAAAACTGCATATTTTCTTTCTTACTGAATATTTTTTCCCGTGCGAATATTTAGTTCAGAGGAAACACCATGGTGTTCAGACGACAACTTTGAATGCCATTAATCTTCAACCATAATCATTTGACATTAATCTTTATTAAATTTCGAACAAATATCTAGCTCCGTGAAGAATTTTTGTGCCCATACAGCAAAAATCTGAAGTTCGTGAATTATCATCTTATATTCATCGCATGTTCTGAATTATTACAGCGTTAACATGCGTAACTTTCAATTGTAACGTTTACAAACATGTTTAAAATGAAAGAGCTCAATAAACCAATTATTCTAGTTCCCTATAGACTATAGTTAACAACTTACCTCTAAGAGGAATCGTTCGAAATTCACAGCTTCTTGCAGCAAATCTCTGCAAATTTCCACTCTCTTCTTTCTTGTACATTTCTCTGCCGTTCTTCTCAGGATGCACCCGCATTTTTCGTCGGTAACTCCAAAAATGCTGCGACACGATGAGCGGAAAAATACCAGCGAGGCACCGCATCCGGCAATTGAAATAAACTGCAGAAGTTTAATTCTACTAGCTCCATTTGAGTCTGTAAATACATTTGCCATGTATTGAACACCTGAACCAGAGAATGCAGCAATAAAAACAAATGAGTATCTGTCAATTGATGGAAACCTTGCATTTATTCCACCTTCCTGTCGGAGATCATTTTTACTCAAGAAATTCAATGCTACAGCCAAGCCGCCTGAGCTTATAAACAGAAAACTGACGCTTAAAAAGGTGCAAACGTCTGCGAATTTCAGGATTTTGCCTCCCACCGTAAAATCGAGTTCACGTAGCGGCTCACACCACAAACCGAAACAAGCCACAGCGTGAACGACAATTCCGTACAACGTGCACGGGATGCTTGGCTTCACTTGATTTTTATAACAGTCGAAGCGCAGCAAGCCTAAAACTTTCAGCAAATATTCTATTGCCTTGAGCGAGTGCATTTTCTTCAGTTGTTTTCTTGGGGGCGCCACAGAGATACTGGATAAATGAGGTATTTTATTGTTGACGCGCACACAGCGAAAGAGCCTCGGTTCACCTGGTGATTATTTACATTAGTGATTGAAGTTCGCATTGTTTGATCAATGAAGATGGGATCTCGAAATCTAACTGAAAAATACCGTCCAGCCAAAGTTAACATATATAATTCAGTCTCACCAAACCACTAATGACATTTCATATTCTATCGCGAGAGGTTGTTCATCAACATAATGGATCCATCGACATTGTGGCCCAACTTGGGACTATAATTGGTCAACCTTGGATGTATAAAGTGAATTTAGAACTGTATTGTACTGAAGTGTATTGCATTGTATGGTATTGTAATGTATTGCATTTTATTGCATAGTATGTATTGCATTATATTGTATTGCATTACATTGTATAATATTGTGTTGTATTGTATTGCATTGTATTGTATAGTTTTGTTCTGCATTGTACTGTGTTTTATTGTACTATATCGTTGAGCTCCAAATGTAAATGATAAGATAATGCATTATAGGAGCATTACGGTAAAGTAATACTTCCAACCATTCGTCGGTATTTCGTTGGCAGAAAACTAGTTACTGAAGGAATGTGAAAACTGAGCGCTGTTTTAATCCTCATTAATATGTATAATGCATCTATGAATTAGCTCTGAAAATCTTCCATTGATGATTTTAAACCATACTAGTTAAATTTTGGAAAAAATCAAGTGATCGCCAGTTATTTTCTTTCTAATAAATTCTTTTACATTATTTGACGAGAAATTTTTCCCATCATCGACATGTTTTTGGTAGAAATTGATGGAATAATTTATTAATAGTGTTTAAAATTTGAATGAATATAATGGATGTTTTTGCCCCTTCATGCCCTAATACCAAAGCGAATATATATTATTAATGAACAGATATATAACTTGGAAAATATCAGCCAGATGTCAATAAAACATTTTTTCCTCACGAGGAAACACAATAAAATTAAATTCATTTTATATAAATTCACTGAAAAACCATCGAAAGTAAAATTGTTCACCAAAACTTCATCAAAAGTTGTGTGGTTGTTAGAATCAAGCGTCGATGATAGCCGTCAAAATATGTTATCAAATTATCTATCAAAGATTTATTATGCGCAGTAAAATTATTTATTTAAATCGATTTTGTATATCCAGTGATTGCCTAAATTATTGGTGCTTCATAATATATTTTTTATATATTTTCTGAATTATTACATTTTATTACACACTATTAAAATGATTATTCCGAAGTCCCAGTTACGAGTATACTGCCTTAAAATAAAATATGCGTTTAAAATTTTCTTTTTTTAAAGACAACACTTCTAAAGAAGCCACTGCCTCCGATGTTACACATGTACAATGAATTTCTAATTTTATTTTCCTATATTAAAAAAATAATTTTCAATTTTTCGTATATAAAAATTTTTAATTTTAAAAATTATTTATTCTGTCAATTCATTCATGCATTGTTTCCAACCTTACGCAAGTGTGCAAAATTTCCAATTGATTGGACATAACATAACATAACATAAAATAACATAACATAACATAACATAACATAACATAACATAACATAACATAACATAACATAACATAACATAACATATTTAACAACAAGCAAACAAACAAACAAACGCGAAGCTAAGCTAAGAAAAACGTGTTAACAAGTGCAGAGGATCGCAGAGATCCTTTCGCCAGCAGGGCAAAGAACGTTTAGCCTATTAGGATTTCTGGTTATACTTAAGTGCACAATGATTCGTCATACGCTTATTTATTTATTTAAACTTCTATTCAAGCCAAATTACCTTGATCCTGTCAAATTATTTTTTTTGTGAAAAATACAAATAATGTCAAGTGCATTAAATAGAAATTTATTGACGCAAAATATGTTTGTAAAAAGCAAAATGCTTCACTTCTACAGAAGACTTTCAATTTTTTAATAAAATAATAATTATTAAACTGATTTTGAGCAGGATTTTACTGAATTTAATGTTTTACAACTTACATGAACTTCCAACTAAAAATTTTTTACTGTACGTGGATGCATTGCCTGGAGAAAGAGGTCCCCTAATTATTATTGTGCACCTGTTGTTTCAGACCTTGTATGTTGTTCCCCTTGTATGTTGTTCAGACCTTGTATGTTGTTCCCCTTGTATGTTGTTCAGACCTTGTATGTTGTCAGACCACCTGTTGTTTCAGACCTTGTATGTAATGTAGTGAACACTTCAAAGCCGCCAATCAGATGAAGAAATGAGGGCCAGATTGCGCAGGTCAGCCGGCCGTGAACTTGTCAGTCGCCGTGATGATGCATTGGACTTTCTTTAGGAACTGTTTGCGGTAGTTCATTAAATCAACAGAAAACGTTCATGACATGAAGTGATGCTTCAGTTGTAGTGGAAAGAAATGAAAGAATGCTTAGAATTGTAGTGATAACTTTATTCAACATAATTCAAATAAATTAGAGAAGTAGAATTGTATACGACACAGATTCACAGGTAACCATATGTCACATTGGCATCAGAAAAGGGGATCACCAGATCAGAAAAACTTGCTGTATAGTCTGAAATTTTGACACGTATTTTCACAAGAACTATGAATGATTTGCATAAGTTTCTACACACTCGTAAACCAAATTATCACTCACTTATCACGTTAACATTTGACATAAATTCAGTTCGAAATTTTCTCAATTTATTTCCCTGCTATGAGTGTCTCGCCACGGCAAGAAAAACTTACCGCGTAGTTGTTGATGTTGGTGCCACTTACAGCGTAGTTGTTGATGTTGGTGCCACTTACCGCGTAGTTGTTGATGTTGGTGCCACTTACCGCGTAGTTGTTGATGTTGGTGCCACTTACCGCGTAGTTGTCGATGTTGGTGCCACATTTTGCCACAGCGAAGTCGTACTGACGAAAGCTGCACTTGCGGCCACTGGTGGCGTCAGCCTTGTACTGGGCGAAGATCTTCTTGGTGTTGATGGAGCCATCGTCGTTCAACTAGGAATAAATGAATGAATGCTTTATTCACATTTACAGGGATTGTAACTTCATATTAAAATTTAATAACTAATGAATCGTTTGATATAGTCATATAGATATCTCAGATGCTGAACTAAATATAGCGTTGGTCACATTATGAGCTGTCACGCTCAACACCACAAATAGTGTCTGCTAAAATTCAAAGTGGAGTTTATGACAGATAATAAAGAGGCATATTTTCAATATTTCTTGACTTACGTATCCAAGTTTTCCCGCAACACATTTCATGTAGGGAGCTGCGACAACATCGCACTTGAGATCGCCTACACTGAAGTTATAGCTCTGGCAGTCACCTGTAGAACACGTAAATTGCTACTATTTGTTTTAGAACTCTCATGAATTTACGATGGTTTACCTCATTATTTCAGGATGCGTCTCTGCACAACACCAATAATTAAAAGAAAAACTCTAAAACTGAGTTATGGAAACAAAAAAAAAGTATCAATTGGGCGAATAGCCCATAAATAGAGTAGCGCAGTGGTAGAAAATTTCAGATCGACCTATTTAGAGTAATAATTTTTGCAATATTTAACCTCTGAGGGCATCAATGGCTGCATGTCCCGCTGGATCTGCTCCGCAGGCGGAGGTGGCAGAATTAGGGAATCGAAGTGTTCCACTAGCTATTGTATAATCCAACCATGCGGCTTTGAGGGCCGTTGCGCACGGATTTGCTCTGGGGTGGAGAAATGAATACGAATAAGTACACCTGGTGAGTCTAATAAATAAATGAACATTTCCCATTTTAGTCAGGAAAGCAAGTAATAGTCATAGTTCTAAATGCAACTTTTTCAGCAATGATTTATAGTGGCTATACAAAATTAGAGCACAAAGCAATATAATATAATTATTTATAATATGGGATAAAGGTGAACAGGAGAAGAGAGCACAGTGCACGAATGCAATTGTTGAGTTCACTTACCCTTCAACACCGGAGTAGGCAAAGGCTGCTATGAGAAGAAGGAAAAGACCGACAGATTTCATCATGTTCTTGTCGTAAAGGCTTATAGGCGGTGGTAAGAGGCTGAGGCAATACGCGTCGTGAACGAAAGGCTGTTAGAAGTCTTATGACTTGGTACGATACATGGTCTGCCTTTATAGCTTTATGATATTATTGAAACAGTTGGTTTTATTTGTAGATAGTGTGCCTACAGCTGTCTGTCAGACATCATCCGTCATCACAGCTAATGGCATCTAGCTCCACAATCAAATGTTGATATTTAGAGTGGACTGTTTGTTAGGAAAATCGAAACTTTCAGGTTAGAAAATATCTAAATAAAAGTGAAAATATAAGTAAAAATGCTTGAATTTTGTTTCAATTTATGCGTTTTTTTTCCATGGAAAGTTATTTGCTAGAAGAACCTCAATTTGTGTTCGAACAAAATATTTTCATCCCACATGTATGTATATTTGATAAGACCACATCCTCCATGCTCAGCGTTGGTTCAGGTGAAGTGGCGAAGCTCCTAAACAGATGCTCCATATTTTAAAAGACATCAAAGCTGACAATGTGACTAATGACTTTAGATCGCAAAGATCACAATGCGAGTGTGTTCAGCTGAACTTGTACCTCGACATGACAGATCATTTGTCTCCACGTCGCCGTATGCTCAACGTTGGTTCAGGTGAAGTGGCGAAGCTCCTAAACAGATGCTTCATATATGCAAAGGCATCAAAGCTGACAATGTGACTGATGACTTTAGATCGCTAATGATCGCAGTCCGAGTGTGTTCAGCTGAACTTGACCTCGACATGCACCAGGTTTATGTTGTTAATTTTTAAAGTCAGAGAATTTTAGTATGTTAATGTTCGATAAGCGTGAAGTTTAATGGCTTGAACTTAATTCGAATGTGGTAATGTATAATTTTTAATGAATTAGTTTTAAATTTCGAAAAATTTCACCAAATGATTATACAATTTGGGTTGTCTAACAATTTTGATGACAAATTTGGAGATTCTCACTGGCAACATCATCTATGGAGCCCTGCTGCCAATTATTTATTTATTATAATCATTTGCAGTATAATTTATTGCAAATAACACAAATAACAGTATTATAGGAATTACGGGAATAATACAATAGAATAGTAGGAATCATGTAGCCTAGGAAACGCTAGGATAACCTTCAACAGTATGTCATATTTTACACTACAACTGCTAAATGAAAAGATATTATTAGGCGCATGAATAAAATATAGAAATTATTTGTGTGGGCGTTAGGTCGTATATAAGTGCGATCCATTTATCCAGCACACGTTTGTTCATGCCGGCAGGCAAATGATTTTTGATTTGAAAAATGACTGATAATTACACAGTAAATACGTTTGCTCACACGTTTGCTCATGCCGGCAGGCCAATGATTTATGATTTTACAAATGACTGATGATCACACAGTAAATACGTTTGCTCACACGTTTGCTCATGTCGGCTGGCAAAAGACATGATTTGACAAATGACTGATAATTACACAGCAAATAACAGCTATAATGGAACAGGCTAAGTTTTATTTCTCCATGATTAATATTCTCCAGATTAATGTTCTTTCCTATTCAACTGTCGAGTATTCACTGCCATTTATTAATTTTATTTAGTGGTTTGTATGTCTACAGCTATTTTGATTCGTCCTGAAAACTTGCAAATAAATGTGCCAAAATAAATGAAACTGTATTCTAAATTATTCGGTAGAGTAAAATTATGATGTAAATTTAATTGATATTCAAAGAGACCAATTATTATCAATATTGGTTGCAGCCATTATGTGACGAACTTGCCTTGACTTTCCGAGTAACCAATTGTGTCACCTTAAAAGTTCGGATGGTCTTAATTGTCACGCCCACCAATGACCGAAATTTTAAAGATACTTCCCTATTGGCTTGATTAGCAGTAGCTTGGACTGGACGTATTGGAAACTCAAAACAAGCTTAATTAAATTTATTCTAGATAAACGATAAATTACAGCAATTCAAATACAACGGGTTTAACAAATCAACAAAACGGATCCCTCAAAGAATTAAAAAATCGAACACGAGAGCTAATTCAAGTCGAATGCGCGGAGAGAGCTAAAATGCGAGGAGAGACCTATAGCTATAGCACGGAGTTTTGAGAAAAAACGCACGATCCTACAACAGAAAGCAAAAGTAAATACCTACACATGACAAATCCTAATATTCACAATAACCACGATATTTCACTAAGTAATCAAATCTCACCACTATCGCACGCAACTCACCCTGGCGTCTGAGTCAAGATCCTATAAGAGGAACCAGTACGCAAGTCCGGATCAGCTGCTTACCTGACGGTCTAAACCAATTTACCGCCTACGTCAGAGCTGGTCCTGCTTAACCTTTGCGGTCTGATAGTCAGTGGTGGGAAATTTTCATAGTACTTCATTACACATTATAAAAGGACAACTTTGTATTTAAGAAGAAAGTGCCGATAATTATTTTCATCATAATGTGTCAAATATTCTAGGGGTTTATATAGCTAATTATAGGGTTAAATATTGATGTTGCAGAAATTTAAAACGGCCAGCGTTCTATAAAATGTGGATGTCGCAGTCATTTTATGTTCACTGCGCAGCACACGTGTTCCTGAAACTGATAATATTGAGCGTTGATGTTGATGGAGAGGACAAAGTATACGATAGACTCCTGCGCTTGATACTTTCTTGTATTGGAGACGAGACGAGAAGCTTTTCCCGCTTAGTGATAAAAATTGAAACAATTTTCAGCGCTACGTGAGAATTTCGGGACAATACCGAGATGACGAGACAAAGCATCTCTGATAAAATAATATCTTGAAAACTTCTCTGAATTTTACATCTAATTATACTATATGAATCAGTTAATCCTTAATGTGAAATTTAAATAATGAAGACATTATCTGCTGAGCAGAATTCTATCCTTTTTCGATGTTAGAGGTATTTAACTGTATAAAATGATTTCGCTTTTGCTCAACTTTCAAATGAGAGCAAATTTGAAGCGCCAGAGGGATGCGTTCACTACTAACTGCCATCTTCAGTAAGCTACTGCTGCTGGTGGCGCAGGAAACATTCGTCAATGTTATGGTGGGGAATAGACTTAGGCTTTGATTTGCCGACATAATTATTTAGGAAGCATTCATTATCTATTTGCGGTGGTGGTGTGGTGCCACTAGGAAAGCGGAAGAGAACACGAGGTCGCACAGAGTGGTCAGAAAGAGGAAGGAGAAATGGGAAGGGCCGTAGGGACGGAAAAGCCCCATTGCGCAAATCTGGGTTGATTTTCGGTGTGAGATGTTTAGTTGGGGTTGAGGAGGAGGAGGAGGCGTAAACCTTTCAGGGCACAAGAAGTATAATGAGGGTGGGGGGGTGTTTCCTTATTACCCTTATTAGTATTCATATTTTTGCGTGTAGCTAAACAGAAAGACAAATGATGCATACCTTCTATATATACATACAATTCGTTTTTGTTATCATTGTTTACGTTTTTTAGATTTTTTGGAATTTATTGGGGGATATTTTCCAATGATAATATGGATGATAGATGATGAGGGTGAAGGTTGTGGATGAGTCCCTCGAGACTTGGAGGAAGGCCGGGGGCTTCCATTTTTTTTCAAGCGGGCCCGCCGGGGTTTATTGGATGATAAGGTGTGCGTTGTTTTTATGGATGAGCGTCACCCATGCTCGATTGCTACAACTGTCGCTCGGATTAGCTATATTGGTAGTTACTTGAGCAGGGGTGGAGGCAGGACGCCTAGTGAAAGTATTTTGGTGCAATGGAAACGACCGGTACGATTCTGATTCGATATTGTGATGCGAGCGTGGCCCTTAACATGCAATCATTGATGAAGGTACTCGCAATTTCATCCCTTGCCATGCCAGAGTCTCTCTTTTGCATGCCTGAACTGTCACAAGTTCATTTCATGCCACTGCAGAGTCTCTCTTTCGCCCGGTGTAAGAGCCCATGACCACCTTAATGGAAGAGATTTATGTTCCAAATCCTGCTTATCTATTCCAAAATAATGCGTTTGGGGCTTTTTTCCATGGGAGACAGGAAAACAGGGTGTCTCCCGGTTTACAATAAAAACCGGGACAATTTGCCGCACTCCGTGGAAATTCCGGGACAATACCGCGACGAGACGAGACTTCCCGGTTAAAATAGGGGTTTTAAATTTTTCTGAAATTTTAATCTTTTATTATGTGACGTAACGAGACATCACGAGACTAGTTAATATGTAATTACAATAATGAATTGTTTTGGAGATTATCTGGTCAAAATTATTTACAATGTTTCAGGTATATTATTATGTAAAATGGCATCCTTATTACTCATCTAGCAAATTTGAAAGGCCAGAGTGAAATTGAACTCCTAAATTATTCTAAGAAATGCGTAGCGAGAGGAATTATTATAGGTTTTTAACGTCACTTTATTTTCGATTATAACAATAAATTGCTCCACTGAACAGCTCACAAGTCCCTCAGTTAAGAACGTATCTGCATTGAATTTAAAATATATCTAATTAATAGGCAGACTCCGCCGTAGGAATCGACACAAATTTTTACTTTGCTTAGTTTTCGATTCAAACTATACGTACATGTAGCGGCCTAGGGACACGTATCGGCCTAGATAAACATAGCGGCCTATAGGTGCGCATAGCGTCCTCATTTAGTACGCGTAGCGGCCTAGGTACATGTAGCGGCCTAGGTACATGTAGCGGCCTAGGTACATGTAGCGGCCTAGGTACATGTAGCGGCCTAGGTACATGTAGCTTGTAGCGACCTAGGTACATGTAGCGGCCTAGGTACATGTAGCGGCTGATTTCACGTCAATGATTGGTGAGTTTAGCTTGGTAAGCCGTCAGTGATTAGCCGACGAGGTTCAAATTCATAATTATATGTCATCAGGCGGCCATGTTAAGATCGATTGACACCGGACAATTAATTTTTGTGAACACGGCCCCTGCTTCATAATAAGGATTCACGGCTCCCGTGATTTTGAGCCCTTAACTACACAGGCTATTATAGCCTCGTGCGAACATGGTCAGGACAAAGAATATGAAGCTTAGTTTGAAGTTGGGTCGTCTCTCGCCGAGTCTTGTCTATCTTGTGCCGAGAAACTTGCCTAACTTGTGCCGAGGAAAAATAAGTTATACAAAACGCACATAACATAATTTTATAATTTACTTATATTTTTTTACAATTTACCAAACAAAAATCTGTATTGCTTTAGTGATTTGATATGATTCAGATTAAATGAGGACAGGTAAACAATGAGCGAAACTGCCGTCAACTGCGTGTTGTTCGCCAACGTTAGTGTATGTCGCCAGTATCATTGTAAGTCGCCAGTGTCGACAGTATCATTATAAGTCGCCAGTGTTGACAGTATCATTGTAAGTCGCCAGTGTTGACAGTATCATTGTAAGTCGCCTGTGTTGGCAGTATCATTGTAAGTCGCCAGTGTGACAGTATCATTGTAGTTCGCCAGTGTGACAGTATCATTGTAAGGCACCAGTGTCATCAGTGTAATAGATCATAAATAATTTCGTAATGTCAAGACAATAAGAAGGCGTCAAAGCTGTCATAATAATGTTAACAATTTTAATGAACAACAAGAATTGATTTTACATTTCTTTGAGCTTGGCGGAAGCAGCGATTTATGCGCCATTTCATTTTGTATGGAAAATAAATTATATTTAATTATAAATTACCTTAAATTTAAAATAAATAAATAAGTTATTTAGAATTAGCCTCAATTACAAATGCAAACCGAACCTATGATAATAGTTTTATTGAACTCCAGGCAGGACATATAAACGATAATCAACATTTAACGAGATAATTTAGCTAATTTTCATCTCTATACGTTTTAATTAAACAATAATTGAGGTTTTATAAATATTGCACTGTTTACCTGTGAATTACGAATCGAGAACTGTAGAAACTTTCTTGAAGAAAATATTGTCAGGAGAAACTAAAATATTTCAGGTTCCACATAAATTCGTCAATTTTCTTCCCAACTCAAAGAACATCATAACACATAAACTAGAAAACAACAACCATTTTAGAGGAAATATATCTATTTCTAATTCATAAATAGCGACCTTTGCATCACCTCCAGTTCTATTTAACATTGACTCATAACGTCTAACGCAGCCATGCAGCCTGTTACAGTGTTACTGTATATGTCACCTGGGATTGACGATTGAGTATCATTGATTATAATTATTTGTTGATTGATTCAGTACAGCCTCACTCACACGGATTCAACATGCGTTTCAACCAACGCTTTAATTCTTTGTTCAAAGTAGATCTTCGATGGAAAATGCCAACTGCTGCACAAACATCATTCTTTTATACTGAAACCCTCCAAACATACATATGTATATAATCAATACATATGCCACTCATATGTATTAATATGTAATACATATCAATACATATGCACTGAAGAATGCCATCCCATCAAGAGCCGCTGATAATAATATTCGCTTGGTCCGCTATGCTTTTCTTCCGTAGGTTTATCCAAAATCTGTTTAATTCCCTGTATTTAAAATAAATAAATAAATTTCGACAAATACCCAGGACAATTTCAAAAAATGTGAAAAATTTCCACGACTCTGCACTGGAATGATAATTTTTACAGGTGAACAAGTGCATTAAAATGGCTCATAGAAGAAAGCGGATCACTAAAAGGCTTCTTTGATCAGCAGGGAATCCTGAGGAAGTTTCCCACGAAGCCTTTCTCCAAGTTGTCGTTGTTGGCGTCTGACCGCACCCACAGGATGAGGGGGCCTGTCGCGTTAACTGGGACGACATGGCGGGTTANTAGGGGGGGCATTAGACGTGCAGGGGTTAGGGGGCATTTGACGTACGGGAGTTAGGGGGCATTTGACGTACGGGGGTTAGGGGGCATTTGACGTGCAGGGGTTAGGGGGGCATTTGACGTGCGGAGGTTAGGGGGCATTTGACGTACGGAGGTTAGGGGGCATTTGACGTATAATGGGAGTCATGGAAGTTAACGGGGACAATTGGGTGAACTGATGAGCACTTTAGAGAACTTCTGTTGGAATCCGTATATAATTGCATTTATTGTAATTATATTTATCATTTATGTAGATAAAATCCCAATTCAAATTAAATAATAGTTTACTCCAGACTAAATTTTGCAAAATGAGAATCATATCAGTCACACTTTTAGTTATGGGACATAATCAAGATTGTGTGTCAGTCATCTAAATGCATAAACCGGAAAAAATATTGTCAGCGAAGTATCGCAATTGTCTTCTATTATTATTACTTTTTTTCCCAAGCGAAAGATTGAAAGCTTACTTCAGGCGTGTCTTGAATTTGATTATTTTTCTCGAGTGACGTAATTTTTATTGAAACTACCATAGACGATGAGGGACGTGTACTGGCCGCAGTACCACCACGTCACCTACCATAGACGATGAGGGACGAGTACTGGCCGCAGTACCACCACGTCACCTACCATAGACGATGAGGGACGTGTACTGGCCACAGTACCATCACGTCACCTACCATAGACGATGAGGTGTACTGGCCGCAGTACTTCTCAGCTCCGGACGCCACGTAGTCGTGTCCACACGCGGCCCCCACGTGGCCCAGGTCCAGGGGCGCGAAGTTGACGCTCACGGCGCAGTAGGAGGGGATGCAGCCGAAGCATATCGCGTAGTTCTGCCAGGTGATAATTGGGAACATATATTTTTTCTCGTGTGATTATCCAATTGAACCGTTAAACCCACTTCGGTAAAATGGTTTCAAATTTTTATCATAGGTATCTGCAGTTGATTTATCGAACTATCATAAATGAATATCCCGCATGAAATCATGAAAGCGTTGCGAATAATCATCTGAATCTATAAAATTAGACTGACTGACTAAGAAACTCCTAAGATTTTTTTCTTAAGATTTAGTTTATTTCTACCAATCATTGAATCACGACACTCGATACATGTAAAAGAAGTACCAGTTCAAAAATCACGATTTCACGAGTATAAATTATAGAATTTGTTTTAATCACTCCGCAATCTCACTTTCAGCAAAGAATTCGTCTCCAAGCGCCGGTGTCATAAATTTAACATTTTACTAAACCTAGTCTTACGGATCCTAAGCGGCACGCTACAACCTCGGGTGCGATTATTTCAGGACTTCGATTGATAAATTCTATTTGTTTAGTCGTCTTCCACAATACGTATGGTAGGATTCTATATTTTTATGGATCCTAAAATATTATGTTTTCTATCGGGATCTGCATTCAAACGCACAATTGGTGGCACAAGCAATGACTTCATCCTTATCTACCCAAATGTTCATGCTAATTTTTCAAACTAAGACTAAATCAACTCGGCTATGATTCAATTGCTCAGAGGCCGTAAATAGAATTACTTTCAGGACTATCATTACAACAAAGTCCGTGAGATTTATCTCGTTTACATAACTTTTAGTCAAGGTTACTTGAAAAAATAATTTCTCACGAATAAATTAGGTTTTTTGAGTAAACACTAAACGAGAAGCCTCGGTGTTTACGTGGTCATTAATCATCTGTGCGCTGGCGCCGACGTGGTTGAAGGAAGACACCAAACCCGTCTGTGTTGTGAAGTACTGCAGGCATCTGGCGGGTGCCTTGCTAGGGCTGTTCAGGGTGAAGAAAGTGATCTTGATGTTCCAGAGGCGGGGGTAGCTGATGCCGGACATCGACATGATCAGTTGGTAGGGAGGTTTCGACGCGTCCACATCCACGTAGTCTGCACCAAACCGATAGTTTGTTAGAGCCAACTGCCTGCTTGCATTAGCTGGTTAAAGTCCACTGAATGCCTTCGTAATCTTACTATAGCAAACTACCTGGCGGTAGTAATTACTTCTCGTATACCTACAAATTTCTTTATTTGCACATGAAATTTCACTCAGTTTTGCTAGCGAGATTAGTTGAGTGACAAGCAGCAATACAATCACAGTTTATACTCCGTTTTACCTGCCAGGTATGCTAAGAGCAATTGACAAGCAGCAATTTTCTTACAGTGTTGCCCTCCGTTGTGCCCGCACAAGATGGGGATCTGCAGCCCCGGGTTGCCCCCCACGAAGATGAAGGAGTCGTTGTTGCAGTCTCCGCCAACGGGACCCACGATGTCGAAGACGATGAACGTCAGCAGGATCTGACACGTCTGTAAACACGTCAGCTCTTGTCAGAGCTGCCATTAATATTTTTGCAAGACTCTACTAGACAAACGACAGGACATTACCAAAGCAATGCGTAAATACCGGTACGTTATTACTCACCCTTTAAAATGGTTTCTGCAGTTATTTAAGACACTTAACTAAAACATGTGCAAGGGTATGACACCACTCACCCCGGGGGGCGGGTTGATCGTGGACATGCACCCCCCGTGCGAGGAGTATGAGCTTGGGTAGCCCGGGTTACTCCAGTAGGTGTTGTTGCTAACGATCACAGAGTTGCAGGTTGCTCTCACTGCAGGCAAGATTGATGCATTATGATATTCTAAGTGCTTGTTGTATAATTAAATTTGAATGTGTTTGCTGACAGTGTCTTTAATTAGGAGATCGCTGTTTCAGGAATAGCGTGGAGTCAATAAAACGTGTATCAATATCGACGAATCATTAGTGAATTCATAACGCCATAACAGCTAGGGAGTTCAAACGCCCTGACAGGTGACAGATCCTAACAGGGAGTTCAAACGCCCTGACAGGTGACAGATCCTAACAGGGAGTTAGATAGTTCAAACGCTCTGACAGGTGACAGATCTTAACACTCGATGCTCCCGTAAAGGTTTCTTAAATGCCATATCTTTAGTTCACACGGTCATTGCACAGAGTTGACATACCCTAACAGGCAGTTGACTCACTGACACAACAGGTGCCGTAGGAGTTGGCACAAGAGCCGCCGTTGACACCGCCCATCTTGACACACTCTTGCTCGCTGTAACACGTGCCCATTTGCCCGTTGGTGGCGTTACAGGGCCCGTTATCGAACGTCACGATCTTCACCACCGGAAAAACTGCGAACAGAACGGCGACAAGCAGCTGAAATACGTGGCATTGAACCACATTATTACACGTTGCATAACAGATCATTACGATAAACATATTAGTGTAGCATGAATGCTATATTGCTGGTGAATAGCGGCAAACCATTGTTGGGGTTCCGCCACAGTGCATCGATGGCATGACCTGCATCTGCACGGCCGTTTTTTTTTGGGTAACTTGACTGCGCCATCAGCATTGCTTAGATGGCTCATGGGTATGCCATCGGCTAAGACCGTTAAAAAAATTATCAAAGAAATTTTAATGGGAGCACAGAGCCGAGATAGACAATATTATTTATTTATATGTCTTACTCCAAAGATCAGTAGCAGGAAAAGTTGCTTCGATAAATCACACATTTTTTATTACGCCACGTCAAAATTGGTTGCCACTAATTGGTTATAAAAGCAATCAATAACTACTATATACTCAATTTTGTACGGATTATCAACAAAACAAATCACCCTTAAACAGTACGATTTTCCGATCTCCTTAAAGTAAATCTAATAAGAAGATGAAATTCGTAGAGGGGCTTCTAATTTAGAATTGTAAGAAGGCCAAGCACTCGTTGTTAAATTTCACTCAAAAGTCAGACAAAAGAATTGGTCATATATTGTCCAAACGATGACACACTTTCTTACCATGAGCACGAAAAAATAGCGAACGTAGCTCTGACATGTCCTTTTGACCTAACTGCATGGGTGAGGATGATGCATACAAAAGCAAAAATAGTATCTCGACTTAGGCAATGTAACCTCGAATTAATCTGAGTGTTAAATTAGCCATCGAGTAAAAATGTAATATTAATCGTCGAGTGCATTGCGATATGCATCAGCTTTGTCCGTAAGCCTTCCACCTAAAGCTTTTTCCCAAAAGTATTTATTTTGCCAATTTTTAAGTTTCTGCTACATTCGACCAAATATTTTATGCCAGAAAATTAAAAAAAAATGCCTTTCCATGAAACCACTAATTGTTTTCGCTCTCGACAAAAAACCTTTTTCCATTTTCGAGCAATAAGAAGCTTACATTTTCCCAATGTTCTCCACCAATACAATTTTTGTATACCCACTTTTATAATAGAAACACCACGTAAAATAACCTTGCACTCGTAACTATCAATATTAGGCCTCCTAATGACTGATGTTCTGTTATTTAAAATAATTTTTAAACCGATAATTCATTTCTTCGTTTCTCTGTGCAGCGCGTGAAGGAAGCTGCGGCAACCCGCGGTGGCCCCAACCTGCGACCTGCCTCATCGCTTTCTCCTGGACCCGCCAACGGGACTTTCTAGGATCTGATCAGCGCCGGCGTCCTACTGCACGCGGGACTTTCTAGGACATGGTCAGCGGCAGCGGGTCGTCGACCCCACAAATACGCCGAGAATTCTCTAAGAACTGGGTCAACGCACACCAACCCTATATATGATGTACCCATGAACAGGACGGATCTCTAAGCCATCAATCAAGTGGAGCACGTCTGACCTCTCGAGACGTGCGGCGATGCAGCGAGAAATCAAGATGGCAGCGATAGCTTGCGCTGCGTACAGTGCATGAAAAATAACCGTATAAATGAATGAACGTCTACTGTGAATTATTTACTGTATTTAATTTAATTATCCTGGTAATCGTGAGCGGAGTTATGATGCGCTAGGACGACACTCACGATTAGGGGCAAAACAATTCAATTAAAGTAATAATTGTCTTCAATTTCCTAATTTGTCACATTATCGAGACTCGAACAAGCAACATTGCAAGAGAGTTACCCCATCGATTCCTGAAAGCCGTTAGAGATTTGTATTTTTGCTGAATTTTCCGTCAGCTTTTAGCAAAAGTTAAAACGCCACTTGCATCCGCGGCGCTTTACCCAGAAGTTTAAGGTTAACCTATAGGCTTCTATAAGGTGCTGATGGAAATAAGGACGGACAATGAGAAGTAAATATTATTGAACTCATTTCTCATTTAATGTCCTAATTGAGACAGGGGTGAAACAACACAAGCTTACCCTCTTTTAATTAACCGTATAATAATGAGGTAAATCGAAAGTAAGCCGTTCAAGTTGACGATTGTTGTTGAATTACCAGTTGCTATTTGTTCCATGGGTAGGGATTCTCCATTAATGTTTGACGATGGTCCTTTCCACTCTGAACGGATTTAATTTCTCGCATTCATACATTCGTGATAGATAAAATCAATAAAAAAGGTAGGAGATTAAAAATAATTGGAAAAATTAATGACAACATTAAACTATGTAAACGTATTTCTATTATATTAGTTTTGGGTGATTTGAAATTTTTTCATTCCATACTCACGTTTGCCATCTCTGCTCTTGCTCGAATTCGACACGGCGAGGGCGGAGTCCGTTGATGAGGAGAAATGGTCCGTTGACAAGGGGAAATTATCTGCTGACGAGGATGAGTGGTCTGCTGACGAAGGGAAATATTTCGTTGAATCTCGAACGCTTTCGGTATCGGGAACGTCAGTGAGGATACCGTGTCCTTGAGGGACCCCGGACACGGTGCGTGTCATGAGGAGACACGTGACCGCCGTGAACACGTGTGCGTGGCGCATGCTGGCTGTCGGGAAAAATTCACACAAGAATTACTTGAATGACTCGGTACCCTCCACCAAACCTTAACCAATAACACGCAGTTATGTGTAACGAGTCCCAAACATCAACATCCAGGAGCTATACACGTCTCGGATAAATTTACGGCCGGACCTGCGGCCGGACTCCAGATTCAGTGTACATCGAATATCTCCCAAAGTGCTGAACGTAGCTCGATGAAATTTGGTACACGTATTCAATATGGCTTGACGGTGATGTCAAGCTCGTGACATTTTTTTTTCAATTTCGCCTTCATTCGTGAGTTATATGACGAAACGTGCCGAAATTTGCATTGTACAGAAAATTTCTTACAAAATACTGAAAAGAACAGTCCGAGACGTGAGCTATATGTACCTTACCTAGGTCACCATCACGTCGTAAGCTTTACCTAATCTTTACCATCAATACGCCGGAAGCCTTACCAAACATTCACCATCGAAACGCCGTATGCTTCACCTAACCTTTCCCGTCAATACGCCGTAAGCTTTACTTAACCTCTTCCATCAATACGCCGTAAATTCTACCTAATCTAATCTGCAACTTATTATGAGGAAATGATTGAGAAAACGAGCCTATCAAATATGAGGGGCCGTCTCCTACTTTATGACACAATTTAACTGCCCTACAAAACACGATCCGCGTTTGTCACTGCGTTTCTTGTTGAGAGCAGCCAACTATGGCTGTTGGAGGGAGCTCCCAGTTGCTGGCGAGTTCGCAAGCAAAGATGGATGTCCTGCTGAACCTAACCACTTCCGTACGGGCGAAACGGGAATTATGTTTTTCGACAATTTTGCACGCTAAATATATTTTTTGAGAAATTTAGCACTTTGTCAAAAGGGAAATCATACTAATAAAAGAAAAAGCGGAAGACGTTACTCCTCATCTTTGCTTACGAAAGGCTGCTCTCAACATATCAAGCAAGTTTCCGGATCACTTGAAACTAAGAAAACAGTCGGACCACAGCTGCACCGAAATCATTGGGCGATACAGAAGCTCGTATCGCTTAGAGCCTTAGAACATCTGGACGATGGCTAAGCAGGAATGAGGTCTCGCTGAGTGCTACGTTCATCCATCTTACACATCAAAACTACAATTTATCAAAGAAAACAATCTCATTAAGACATCCGGAAAGCTTCTAAAGTCCTGGCACAACATTATAGACCAGTAGAAGTAACGCAGACGGAAGTTACGGAGCCAGTAATTAAAGTTAACCAGCGAGACGACGACCGATCTTCCATGACTATCTCATGCAGGCGTCTCAACTCGGGAAACTTCCCCGGCATTGTCGTTGCTGGAAGAGACTGTCTCGCGATTTGAATTGTATAGAACTTATTTGATAATAATTGCATATTAAAGTCTGTGCAAATTAGCCTTCTTTGTTGTAGATTGAGGGCTGGTGTGGAGAATGTAGCAGGCATTTCTAGCCTCTAGGATCTCGTGTCTCATGCACTGTTGAGAAGCGGTGTGGACCAACGATGGACGGCTGCGTGCTGACTAATGCTTCGTAGGACATCATCAGTTCAACTCATTGTCTCTAGTGGAAGGATTTATTCGTGCAAGCGATGTAGCATTTCATTCACAGTGGATCGAGGAGTTTTTAGTAGCATTCAAGCTAATTTAATCAAATTGTTTTTTAAATGGACTCATCATCTTACGTTTGTGAGTGTACGAATATCAAAACACATGTGGTTAAAGACCAGAGAATTAGTTTATTTACATTTTCAGGATCGAACAATATTCTTCAGATGACATAAAATGGAGCAATTGGAGAAGCTATAACGACATGAGCAGAGATTAATCCTGCCCCCTGAAACAAGTTAGCAACCACACCAGGTCTCAAAGCATTAAAATCGAGCAACTTCATCCCTATATCCGCAACGAATTCAACAGGCTGTGTTGAAAATGAGCCCTTAACAACGTGACTGTCACTCCCACTGTGCTGGAGGAACCCACCAGCATCTTCTTGATGGATTGGCCCGACATCATCCGACCGATGATAGCTGATACCCTCATCTCTACGCATTGGACTCCAGCTATCCATCTCACGACTACCGGATTTTCTGAACTTCGAGATTGTTTCGGAGTTATTTTCTCAATTCCAAATTTTCGTGTTGTATATTATTTACATATATCATGTTCTTATTTCCACTAAAATTTTTGCATTCAATGCTTCCTATTACTTGAAAATGAATGTTGTAACATTCGCAACGTCGTTAATAAATATTTTCACAAGTCTACTTGCTACTTCCCAAAAAGGATACGTTCTAGTGAGCGTAAAATGACGCACTGATGGTTGCTGCTACGTACAACTTTAAAATGTTCTCTGTTGTGTACAAACGTCCTCAGGTTGCTACACTCTATAGTTTACGTATAATTGTATATTCCCGGAGGAGTGACATACGGCGGTATAGGGTTGAACCTGCATTTTGATCAACCAACGTTATCTGAAGAATATTGTTCGACCCTGAAAATGGAAATCAATGAATTCTCTCGTCATTAACCACATGTGTTTAAACAAGATTATTTTGCTATCTTAAACTAAATATTAAAACCTACATGACACTAATAAATATTCAACATTACTTTGTCTTTATCTCGATCGAAAAGGATATGTTTTATCGACTGAAGATTTTCATCATAACTCAACACCGATGTTTTTTCGAAAAAGTCATCCTATTTTAAGGTTGAACAAACATGTGTGTTGAACTAATTAGTATTATTACCAACAGTGCCGTTATTTAAAACTATTCATTTTACCCAGCAAGTATTTGAAACGAATAAAACCTGCCGTACATGTTAAGCGTTGAGCAGAGCAGGACTTCGTAGGATATTGTCGGCAGCGACACACTTCACACGCGCGCCACGAGCGTTAAAGATAATATGCCACAGCGCCGCTGCTGCCCACCCTTTATATACCGCCGCTCGGCAACCGCACCGCCCGTGGTACTGGCAACAATTATTTCTAGCGGTTCCATTTCTATGCCGACACTCCTGTCGGAATCCTGTTAGTATGGAGAAGAAAGCGAACGCTTCGTCATGCCTCTAGTAACGGGATTGATGCTTTTAAATTCGAGTGTTGATTTATAATGATACTATAATGTAGGCATCGACACCTAATGCGGAATCTAATCCGGCCTTTTTCGCAGGAAGTTACACGAAGCTTAAAGTGCATCAATTTATTTGCGGAGATCTAGGAAATAAGTCAGTAATTGTGCTGTATACTAAAAGAAATTATTGAAGCTGTGCCCGAATAGCAATGAACATTTTGCGACTGAGTGGCTCATCAGGACCCAGTTTGCCATGACAACTGAACATCCGCTACGTCCATACGTGAGCTCTCAGCTCGTGCCATGGCCAAGAAAAGGTGTAACTTTTTTAGAAAATATACCCCATCAATTTTTTTCGTTTAGACTTGATAAAATATAATTTTGCTTTTAGTGTTCGCGGTTTCTTCCCCAGTGAACGGTAAGCGACTTACACGCAAGATTATTAAAGTCATTTGTATGGCTCGCAACAGGCATGATTGTACGGAAGGTAACGGTTAAGATTGTATGGTATCCTAAAATCAGGCTCACCAAATGAACAGCAATGCACGAGACCTGCGACACATACTCATACACTCACACACGCGTGCACGCACATGGGCATATCTAGGTCAAACAATCATTCCCGACACCTCCTTTCCTTATGTCCTTTACGTCAAGTTGATGACGTACTCGTCCGTGGTCACGCTGATGTACAGCCTTCGTCATCCACCGTTCCCAAGCATTCGGTAGGCAGGTTGCCCGCCACCGGTGGTCGGAGTTAACGCTGAACGTGGCCACCCTGCTTCTGCCCTCGTTTGAGCCAGCGGATGCTAGATGCTGCTTGTTTGCCCCTTGCCGAGGGTTGAGGGAGATAACCGAAACATCCGGGATCTTGTTCAAAAAAGGCATCCAGTTGTCTCTTGAGAGTCTCAAGGGAGAACTCCCCTCCTCTCAGGTCATTTAGCATGGTATTGAACAGCCTCGGTCAAGCCATGGAAAAAAATCCGTCCCAAAGAGTCTGAACTTTGGCTGCAGATCGATTGTTAACTGGGGATATCCTGCAAACTCTCCCCCTCCTTTCGTTGTGTCATGTCACTATTGTCTATGTCTCACTTTCAAAGTTGCATGCCAGTCTGGTATCATTTTCCAAGTGTACCTCTGTCTTCACCTCTCCATGCAGCTTGCGGTATGGCATTTAGGCCGTGAATCATTCAAGCTATGAACCATGAAGGCACTGAACTACCATTGAACCATGCAGGCATTTAGTACCTGAATATTTGAATCATTTAGAATTTAGATGCTGGGCCTTGTAGGTGTAAGTCCGTTTGAGCAATGGACATTTATACCATTGAACACTAAATGCCCAAAACCTCATTATTCAGAGAGCCATTGAACCATTTAACCTTCTAGAGATTCATCAATTTAAGCCTGGCATTTGACTATGCAAGGTGAAAAGGTTATTTTTTTTAAGCCAGTATGGACGTATAAATTTCAAGTGAGAAGTTGATGAGGCTTGCAGAAAATTTATATAAATAATAATCATAGAGGTAAGCTTCAAATCTTGCCGAAGCAGGTATGAAAAGAATATATTCTGATCATCACAAATCCGAAGTGCGATGCTCTGTTGCAGCTCCAGGTCTCATTGATGTGATACATAGAAAAAACGATTGCAAAAGTCAATCAATTCTAAATTCCTGTCTCTGGACCATGTCAGCGCTATGAATGACTGCATTTATAATGCGAGGCACAGGACCGAGCTGGTACCTGATCTTCAGCAGCCAGAGAAGCGCTGCTGTTGTGGTGCTGCTGCCGTTATGTGACCTACTGTTACTGTTGTCTCTGTACTGTTACTGCTGCCTCTGTACTGTTACTGGTGACTCTGTTCTGTTACTGTTGTCTCTGTACTGTTACTGTTGTCTCTGTACTGTTACTGGTGACTCTGTTCTGTTACTACTGCCTCTGTACTGTTACTGCTGCCTCTGTACTGTTACTGTTGCATCTGTACTGTTACTGCTGCCTCTGTACTGTTACTGTTGTCTCTGTACTGTTTCTGCTGCCTTTTTACTGTTACTGTTACTTCTGTACTGTTACTGTCGCCTCTGTACTGTTACTGCTGCCTCTGTACTGCCACTGTTGCCTCTGTACTGTTACTGTTGCCTCTGTACCGTTACTGTTGTCTCTGTACTGTTGTCTCTGTACTGTTACTGCTGCCTCTGTACTGTTACTTCTGCCTCTGTACTGTTACTGTCGCCTCTGTACTGTTATTGTTGCATCTGTACTGTTACTGTTGCATCTGTACTGTTACTGCTGCCTCTGTACTGTTACTGTTGTCTCTGTACTGTTACTGCTGCCTTTTTACTGTTACTGTTGCATCTGTACTGTTACTGTCGCCTCTGTACTGTTACTGCTGCCTCTGTACTGTTACTGTTGTCTCTGTACTGTTACTGCTGCCTTTTTACTGTTACTGTTACTTCTAGCTGTACTGTTACTGTCGCCTCTGTACTGTTACTGCTGCCTCTGTACTATTACTGCTGCCTCTGTACTGCCACTGTTGCCTCTGTACTGTTACTGTTGCCTCTGTACCGTTACTGTTGTCCCTGTACTGTTACTGTTGTCTCTGTACTGTTACTATCGCCTCTGTACTGTTATTACCGCCTCTACTGACACTGTTGCCTCTGTAATGTTACTGTTGCATCTGTACTGTTACTGTTGCCTATGTACTGTTACTGCGCCTCTGCACTGTTACTGTTTCTTCTGTACTGTTACTGTTATCTCTGTACTGTTACTGCTGCCTCTGTACTGTTACTGCTTCTGTACTATTACTGTTGTCTCTGTACTCTGATGCTTAATAGCTTAAGGCCGCCATAAGTCCGTTAAAAGGACACTTCATCTTCGAAACCTAGACTTTATTGACAACAACGTTGCTGATTGATATTAATTCAATCATCTAGGATTCAAAATCATTTTTAACGCAATCATTTTGGATGTGAGCATCTTGGAACCAAGCGGTCTCATGTACGCACAGGAGGCCGTGCGTGCAGTGAATGTGAATGTGATGAAAGGCCTCGAGTGAACGATATATTTTGTTTCTATATAAATGAATGCGGATGGCAAACTTATTCGGGATGACGTATTTATAACGGTATATTCATGTCCTAGAAATAGTATTCGTGTATATTTTTTATTTATTAAATGTAATTAGTGCAATAACTTAATCTATTCTACCAGATTAACCTCTGAATGAAAGGAAATGAAAACAATACAAATTCCAAAGGACTCTATGTAATAAATATATACAAATTATATTCTACACTTACTTATGAGATACCCATTATTGCATATTAACTAATGAATCTTTATTATTTACAAAGATATTTAGTATATCCTATATTTTGAGGACGGTATATCATGTATATTATTCTCGTATCAGTCTGGAGATTTCTAAGCAATAGAATTTATTAATCGAAATGCTTGAATTGTGCCGCTAAATCAATCGTTTGTTTTCTATAAAATTCCGAATTTTTTAGCTAAATTACAACCAAACTCGAGCGAACATCCACAGGGCATTTGAATCACTAGTATAATTATTAATTATATGCTAATGCTAATTATATGCATCAGCCTCGAGGGTCATCGAGGCTGATGAATATGACGAACCAGTGCCTTCCATCATCGCAGGACGTACGATCATCGAGTCTTTGGAATGACCCACATTAAGCGCTCCGTACAGAATGCCCTTTAATTTTAACTTTTTCAAGTAAACATTCAATGAAGTATCAAGACTATTTATAACAGATCAACCATTTGTTACAACATCGTCTTGATGTTATAGCCCAGTCTTGGCTGAAGTCTTCTCCCTTGACACAACGTCTTTAATTACCCTTGCAATTATCAATAACCATTAATACAATTTATGCTTGATAAGAGGGCCCTGAATTGGTCATGATGCGTGGGTCATGATGCGTGGGTCATGATGCGTGGGTCATGATGCATGGGTCATGATGCATGGGTCATGATGCGTGGGTCATGATGCATGGGTCATGATGCGTGGGTCATGATGCGTGGGTCATGATGCGTGGGTCATGATGCGTGGGTCATGATGCATGGGTCATGATGCATGGGTCATGATGCATGGGTCATGATGCGTGGGTCATGATGCGTGGGTCATGATGCATGGGTCATGATGCATAAGTTTTATAGGTCATTATTTTTCTGAATGCACGGTTGTAAAAATGGCTACTCACTCCTCCGAAAAGAAGGGCTTATTTAAACATTTTTTTCCATTATCCACATACCGAGTATTATATTAGAACTGCATACATCCTTGTAGTTTATAAATCAATGTTATTTACATTAATTGTTCAAGGTTTGACCTTGAGATACTTTGATACAAGACTTATCATCGTTAAAGTTATATTCACAAGTAATAGGACGCCTATAGTTAAGAGTAGTACTCGTATATACAGGTAACGATAACAACGTAGGATAGTCCTTTATCACAACACTTGCACTAATTACACATTTGTTACTTTAAATCTGATTAAGACAAATATTTACTCAAGTATTGCACACCTAAGATAAGTTTCTTTTTACAAATGGCTCAAGTTTAATAATTGAATTCTGCGTCATTTTAACATGAATTCGTAGAAGATTTGACCAAATCAACGAATTTTTGTCCAGTTTCGACTGTGGACGAGCGCCTACATTTATTTATCGCTTCAAAAACCTACATGCTGGCGGGTTCTTTCAACCCACGCAGAAATATGAACAGATTGTTTGTTACATGTACATGAATATTGTTTAATATTCAACAATATTTACTGAACAGTCGTGTATAACGACACCCATTTTTACCCACAGTACGAGCACAGACGGACGTAGCACTGATACACGCTTCTGCCGAGTCAAACTAGGTCATGGTGACACACACACGTACAATACGTGCATCGCCATTGGAGATAGTCTCACTCATTTCTATGAGTGCTCATAAACCTCATTTTAATTTCAGTATTTCAAAAATTTAATTCATTATCAATTAGGCATCATGTAATCTTCCATGTGACTTATCGACCGTTTATTTATTTATTTATTTTTTTTTGGTCACGCGCCTTGCGCACTAGGAACAAACTGTTCACCATATTGCACAATAAATTCTTTACACACTACAAAAATATATATTTTTACAATATGCTACAGGCATTCACTGCAGCGTGAACGCGGCGTTGTCATGGCAACCGTTGGACAAGCCTCGACTGTTGTTGTTGTTGCTTCGAGCTGTTGCTGCAGTGTTGCCATACGCCCTGCTGCGCTCAGCAGGTATGGTCACGGCAGAGGTAAACTCGCTAGAGGTATAGTTGTTATTCCTGAAGGTATTGACGTTCTGTAGGGATATGCCATTACTTTCTGGTCGACCATTACCAGGACGGGTGACGATGGAGAGCATGACGGGACGGTTCCAGATTTGCTCCTTAGCGGACGCCAGCAGGAAGTACAGGCAGTTGCCAAGTACCAAAAAGATAGCCACTGTGTACCAGAGAGTACGCCACCGTTCCAGTGTCGCCTGGTGCAATAACAAAATGTATTTATTTATAAATACTAATGATAAATTAGCAGAGTTAGTTTGGCAGTTCCCATAAGACTAAACAGAAGTCATAGTGGCTTTTTGGAGGGTAGACAACTAGACTCTTACAGGGCACAGGAAGGTTAGGTTCATTACTAAATTCAGGTTAAATACTAATTTAGTTAGGTTCGATTGAACCTAACTGAAAGTTAGGGTCTATACCCCACAGCACCCCAGACCACCCGCCCTGCCTCACCACCCAGCCGACCTTCCTGGCTACACCACCCCGCCCACCAGCCCCATCCACCTGCATCAAACATCACCCAACCCACCGCTCCTACACCACCCTGCCCACCTGCACCAAACATCACCCAACCCACCTGCCCCTACACCACCAACCCACCTGCCCCGTGATGAGGTAGCGCTTGTAGCTGGGCGCCATGAGGCTGGCGGCGGCGGCGGCGGTGCCGGCGATGCCCTGGATGACGGCCGCGTGGTTGGGCGCCAGGTCGAGGCTGTTGCTGAGGGCGGCCACCAGGACGGCCGGCATGCCGATGGCAAGAGCCAGCGCGCCACACGCCAATACGGCGTTGTAGTGGCACTTTGCCTGAGCCAGACCAATCAGACACGCCACAGTGATCACCGTACCTGTGGCAACGTTTATGATGAACTTCGTACGAGTGGCCATAATTAGGATGAGCGTCATAACTTCGGCAACGTTTAGGGTGAACTTCATTAGTGTGGTAACGTTTAGGGTGAACGTAATTACTGTGGCATCGTTTAGGGTGAACGTCATTACTGTGGCATCGTTTAGGGTGAACGTCATAACTGTGGCAACGTTTAGGGTGAACGTCATAACTGTGGCATCGTTTAGGGTGAACTTCATAACTGTGGCAACGTTTAGGATGAACGTCGTAACTGAGTCAACGTTTCAAGTGATCATCATACTTACGGCAACGTTTCAGGTAAGCATCGTACATATGACAACATTTCAATTAATCACAGTAACCGTGGTAACATTTAGGTTTAGCCTTGTACCTATGGAAACGTCGTAAGTGATCATTGTACCTGTGGCAACATTTAGGTGATCCAATACGTGAAACTAATCTAGTAATTGAAATCCTGTCAAGATTTTTTTTTTTTTGCATTCAGCCTAAACATGGCGGCCAGATGGCGCTACTGACATAGGGAGTTGGCAGCCCGGCGGATGACGACAATGGTCGTCCACCGGTGGTTGATGGCCCAGTCAGCCAGGACGGCGTACGCCACCACTACCACACAGCCAGCCATCAGCGCCGCCAGCCACACCACCTGAACCTGTGGGCAAAATTTCAATTTGTTATGGCGTGACAAAATACACGTCTAAATAATAAACATAGGCCGGACCTGGTCCTTGGTGCTATATAAAAAGCTGGCTCGTAGATTGTAAAAAGCAATAATTTATCTAAACAAAATTAAGCCCATTTGCTGCTTCCACTGTGTGCGTACCCATACTTGGTATCAGCGAACCTGCGCGACTGGTCCATGGAGAGCGGTGGAGGCGTAGAATGGTACGTGATGGTAGAGCGTGTACCACATCCACGAGGTTGTGGCCTGTGCCAGGATGATGGCAAGCACGTGCTTCGACCTGCAAACATCACAAAGATGATTAGGTGACAAGCATCACGGCACACACGCCACTCACGCCACACAATGCGCCGTCGTATTGGCCGCATACGCGACATACGCTACATGACGCACTATACATCACGAACTCCACATGCCACAACGTCTAACGGCCCCCACACGGTGCACTGTACCATGACCTCCACACGCCTCACACGGCGTATCGTGTGAGGCGTGTGGAGGAGCTTGACTAGTGAGGGAGGCTGAAGCGCTTAGGTCTGTACTCACTGCAGAGAAGACGGGCGAGGTATGTCATTCTGTACACCAGACTGACACCAAACTTCGAAAGCGAAACATCCAGGATTAGAAAATACCAAAATGAGATGCGATTGAGACTGACGTCCCCACTACGCAACAAAACTGCAGCCAGATTTCAATCTCAGTATGAGGGATCTCTTTCCGAAGCAGGGCCGAAGCTGTTCAGCGTCCTACCAAAGGATTTAAGAAGGGGGGAGTTCACCCTTGAGATCTTCAAGAGAATACTGGACGTGTTCCTAGGCACAATCCCTGATCGTCCGCCTCTGCATCACTACCAGCGGCAAGAAGCAATCAACAGCATCGCGCGCGAGCTGGCGCAACCATGGGCATGAGCTGGTCAACTGAGGGCATCAGCTAGTCAAATTAAGGGTATCAGCTGGTCCAACTCAGGGCATGAGCTGGTCCAACTGAGGGCATCAGGTGATCAAATAGAGAGTATCAGCTGGTCCAACTGAGGGTATCAGCTGGTCCAACTGAGGATATCAGCTGGTCCAACTGAGGGCATCAGTTGGTCAAATAGAAGGTATCAGCTGGTCCAACTCAGGGCATGAGCTGGTCCAACTGAGGGCATCAGTTGGACAAATAGAAGGTATCAGCTGGTCCAACTGAGGGCATCAGTTGGTCAAATAGAAGGTATCAGCTGGTCCAACTGAGGGTATCAGCAGATCGAACTGAGGGTAGATGCGCGGTAGTCAAGAACTGGCCCCGAAGACCTCGGCGACGAGAACATCTTGCCCGTCAGTGCCTAGCTCGATTGAATACTGAGGCCTGGGACAGCTACGTTCGAAATATATGCGGTACTGGTACCAAGGATATTTAAGTGACACGACCTCCACACACCCCGACCGATGCATGGCATCACGGCACCCAACATGCCCCACACAACAAACCTTATGATGGCCCCCCAGGGGATGGGGAGGGAGCGGCCGGCGTGGTGGTGGGCGACGGCGGCCGAGATCCGCCGTAGCTCCCGCGCGCCGATGCGCGGATGGTCGTGCGGCGTGTCGTGCGCCATGATGTACCACGCGCCGCACCACAGCACGGCCAGAGCGCCTGCGTCGTAATGGTTTGTTAGTACATAGGGTGGCAGCGTGGGCCAGTGGTTAAAGTTCAGGATACTCGGACAGTTCAGGATACTGATGTATCCTGAACAGGATACAGTTCAGGATACCGAAATTGAGCCAAAGAGTTGAATGTGCGAGACCCGCAACAAACTGTGAAAATTCTGCGATCTTCTGAATCGGTGGCAAGTCTAACGGCCTGATGAAGGCTATAGTACTTATATAAGTGTCGTCCTATAAACAAGACGCTTTTATGAATCAAAGTAACACCGCTAGGCTTTAGAGCCAAGTAAACAAAATATTATTTTATGAGCGGTTAGTGGCCAATAACTTAAATACCAATGACAACCACGCAAAGCATGGGACAGGAGCGCGGACACGCGACGTGCACTCACCTTGGAGGTAGAAGAGCGACTCCCAGCCGATGGAGCGCACGAGCCACGCGGCAACAGGCCCCCCCACCGCCGCCCCCACGCCGATGCCTGCAAGTAATCAATGGTGTTAATCAATGAGAAGTTATCATTATTGTTAAATTATTTATTGCAAGCAAAAGTAAATATAATAGTTGATCCTAGAATCTATCAAATACCATGAATACTTGATAAATCATGTGAATTGAACAATAATTCAATGAAATACTTAGGACAATTGGATAACAGGAAACGTGAGCACCCACCGGAGTAGGTGAAGGCGACCATCTTGTTCCTCTCGCTGGGGGGCGCCCAGGCGGCCAGCAGCGCGTGCACCGCGGGGGAACACACGCCCTGTGTGAACACATGTGTTAATAACAGCGTGGGGGTGTGGGGGGTGAACACACGCCCTGTGTGAACACATGTGTTAATAACAGCGTGAGGGTATGGGGTGTGAACACACGCCCTGTGTGAGCACATGTGTTAATAACAGCGTGGGGGTGTGGGGGTGAACACACGCCCTGTGTGAACACATGTGTTAATAACAGCGTGGGGGTGTAGGGGTGAACACACGCCCTGTGTGAACACATGTGTTAATAACAGCGTGGGGGTGTGGGGGGTGAACACACACCCTGTGTGAACACATGTGTTAATAACAGCGTGGAGGTGCCGGTGTGAACACACGCCTTGTGTGAACACCATTATGTGTGGTGCGCGAAGCAGTTATTAAAACAAGCAAACTATTAGATCCTTACAAGCGAACTGTTAGATCCTTACAAGCGAACTGTTAGATCCTTACAAGCGAACTATCAGATACTTACAAGCGAACTGTTAGATCCTTACAAGCGAACTATTATATCCCTAATTATTAAGTTAAATTATTAAGTTAATAACAATATATTAATTTCTTAAGTTAAATAACAATGTACTTCATTTTTAAGTTAATGGCAACGTAGAGACAAGCGAGGATCATGAGGTGGTCTCCGGAAACCTGGGTGATGCCGATGAGCAGCCGCAGGGTGAACACCCAATAGGGGCCGAGGGTGGCGAGTGGGGGTAGAAGAAGGGTGAGTATACCCCCCATCATCACGCCCCCCAGCATGAGCATCTTGCCTCCCATGACACCCACGAGGCGCACCCCCGCGAGCTGGGAGACCAGGAGCCCCCAGTAGTACGCTGACGTCATCTGCTTCTGCTCTGTGGGTGACCACAACAGCTGACCGTCCTGGGGGAGGAGGAGGGTGGGTGATGAGAGGGTGATGAGTGGGTGATGAGTGGGTGACGAGAGGGTGAAGAGTAACGTCATCACATGAAAAAGAGGGTGAAGAGTACGTCATCACATGGAGAAGCGGGTGAAGAGTACCGTCATCACATGAAGAAGAGGGTGAAGAGTATAAGTCATCACATGAAGAAGAAGGTGAAGAGTAACGTCATCACATGAAGAAGGTAAAGAGTACTGTCATCACATGAAGAAGAGGGTGAAGAGTACTGTCATCACATGAAGAAGAGGGTGAAGAGTACTGTCATCACATGAAGAAGAGGGTGAAGAGTATAAGTCATCACATGAAGAAGGTAAAGAGTACTGTCATCACATGAAGAAGAGGGTGAAGAGTACTGTCATCACATGAAGAAGAGGGTGAAGAGTACCATCATCACAAGAAGAAGAAGGTGAAGAGTAACGTCATCACATGAAGAAGGTGAAGAGTACTGCCATCACATGAAGAAGAGGGTAAAGAGTATAAAACATCACTTGAAGAAGAGGATGAAGAGTAACGTCATCACAAGAAGAGGGTGAAGAATAACGTCATCACATGAAGAAGAAGGTGGAGAGTACTGTCATCACATGAAGAAGAGGGTGAAGAGTATAAGACATCACATGAAGAAGAGGGTGAAGAGTAACGTCATCATATGAAGAAGAAGGTGAAGAGTACTGTCATCACATGAAGAAGAGGGTGAAGAGTATAAGTCATCACATGTAGAAGAGGGTGAAGAGTAACGTCATCACAAGAAGAAGAGGGTGAAGAGTAACGTCATCATATGAAGAAGAAGGTGAAGAGTACTGTCATCACATGAAGAAGAGGGTGAAGAATAACGTCATCACATGAAGAAGAAGGTGGAGAGTACTGTCATCACATGAAGAAGAGGGTGAAGAGTATAAGTCATCACATGAAGAAGAGGGTGAAGACGACTGTCATCACATGAAGAAGAGGGTGAAGAGTACCGTCATCACATGAAGAAGACGGTGAAGGTACCGTCATCACATGAAGAAGAGGGAGAAGAGTACCGTCATCACATGAAGAAGAAGGTGAAGAGTACCGTCATCACATGACGAAGAGGGTGAAGAGTACCGTCATCACATGAAGAAGAAGGTGAAGAGTACCGTCATCACATGAAGAAGAGGGTGAAGAGTACCGTCATCACATGAAGAAGAGGGTGAAGAGTACCGTCTCACATGAAGAAGCGGGTGAAGAGTATAAGTCATCACATGAGCACAGGAAACTGGTGGGTGATAGCACACCGTGGAGGGCACTCACCAGGGGGTGGGTGATGCGCTCCACCATGCGTGGGTGATAGCACACCGTGGACGGGAATTCATCATTGAGTCTGATCTCCCCGTGGGTGGCGGGGGCGCTCCCAACGTCGATACCACCGATAATGTTCAGTTCCTGGATTAAATCAAGATTAATGATTGAAACAGTGAAAAAATTCAAATTCAGTGCTATATTTTCAAATAGTAGTATTGAAAAAATATAAAAAAATTAAAGGAGAAATTTTTTTGGATCAATCTTGGGCTTCGATACTTCTTCTTATGACCATGACCTCTTAACATGACCTCATTAAATAGAGAGTCATTATAGCAAAGGAGCTCGATATATATTTTCGAAGACCTAACCTTACATAGAGGTGTCAACTTACTGTCAACCTAATCATACTCTATGAAGTCGATTGAAAGTCAAATTACCGATTTACCGTACATATTACTACTCACCTCCATCTAATGGATAAACCCTTGCATATTGTACCCATTGTACCAATAACCCTATACTAGTATCCATTGCACTTATACCTCCGAGTTGTTGCTCGAATACTCGTACGTAACCGCAATAGCGAACCCACCGCACGTACCTCAGAGCTATACTCCTCAGACAGGCCTGTGTCGTAGACATCAGAATGGAGTTTGTTGGTTGAGTTGTCGCCAGCCTGACGGGTTCTGTTTCCCAATTCACTCAAACGTTCATTAGACAATAACCCTTCTTCGCTGATGAGGTTCCCGTCTCGGTCGTCCTCCATGGCGGAGTCTCTTTCCAACTCACCAGATTGGTCCTCTTCAGAATTATCATCTTCAGACTTGCCATCTCCTTCTTCGCTGGAACTTGAGCTAGAGCTGGAACTTGATCCTAAATCAATATCAGAGAGCAGTCGTGATGTCAAGCTTCCGTTTACGTAACACAAAATGTCGACATCCTCTGGGGTCGCGTTAAATCTTGTGGTGCAGTTGTTTTTAAATAAGTATTTCTGAAGATCTTCATGAGCTTCGTTGCTTTCTTCCTCTTCTTCACTGTCTTCATCCTCCTGTTCTGCTCCTTCGTACTCATACTCATAATCTTCTTCATTTTCTTCCTCTTCATCATCCTCGTCTTCCTTTTCATCTTCTTCATCATCCTCTTCCAACTCGTAGGAGTGTCGCACTTGATAATGATGGTGATCACCATATCTTCTTTGCCATTGTTTTCCCCTCCGTATGGTGTTCAACTGACGTAACATTCCTGTAACGTGACCAATTTGAACGTTGCCGATAACGTCGTTAATTGTAAGATCACCTTTTACGTCATCCACGATCAAATCCCCGCGATGGCGCACACCGATAACCGTTAAATTACCCGTCACGTTTTGGACGTGTAAACGACCACTAACTCCGATCACGAAAACGTTACCACTGACGTTCACAATCGACATCACCCCGGACACCTCGTCAACAATTACATGACCAGTAACGTTCATAATCGTCGTGCTACCGCCGGCTTCGTCGATACTAAGGTTGCCTATGACTTGATCAACTATAACCGATCCAAAAATATCGTCAATTGTAAGAACACCAATGACATTTTTCGCCGTTAAATTACCCCATGAATCTGTGATAGTCACATTACCCGTAATATTGTTCAAAGTTAAGTTACCACGTACATCTTTCACTGTCAAATTTCCAGATATGTTGGTCAAAGTCAAGTTCCTAATGGTGTCGTGAATAGCGAGGTTTCCAGTTACGTTGTTGATCTCTACCAGTCCTAACTCAACTACCCTGAGAACGCCACTATTGTTCGCGAAAGTATATTCATTCTTAGCATATGTAGTGAAAGTTGCATTAGTACTTGTGTTCGACAAAAATAAACTCCCTGTCATGTTGAAAAGTAACACACGGTTACTAGAATCGAAAATCGTCATGTTAGTTGAATTGGTGAAAATGGGCCTTCGTCTTTTTAACTTGTGATTCAAACGCTCCGCGAAGATTTTTTCGATGTACATGATTTTCAAACTTTCCGAAATATTGACTTTCACATCAGACGCGTAAGTTGGGACAGGTGTTGTGGTAGGGAAGAAATCCTTTAATCTTGTGCGTGGTGTGCTGGACAATGCATTGCTCTGTGAAAACATTTCCTGCATTTTTTGCACCGAAGACCAAAAGCTCTCGAGATGAGAGTGGTCCGGACCACGCGATGTGTCGTTCGTGGCGTTTGAAATGAAACTGAAGAGGTCATGATCGATGCCGATAGTGACGTTGCCAGTGTGTATGATGTCATCATCGCTTTCATTGTAGGCGTGGATTGAGAACAATCCAACGTTTTTAACTTTAGGAATAACGTGAAATTTTTTGGTTACCAGGATCAAAGTCGGAAGTGTAGTCGATTGAAAATTGGGGTTGAAGTCAGTAGTCTGATCAGCAGCATTGGTTGTGATGACGTTTAATTGACTAGAATTGTCTTTCGATTTTTCAAACGGTATTGACTTCGGCGATTTCAAATGATCTATACTGGATGAGTTATTTTCTGAGTCTAACCTGAGCGAAACGTTAGATTCGAACATAGTTTTATTTACAAGACCTACCTCGAGAGGCACTCCGATGTTTGTCTCTGAATTGTCTTCTCGAAAAACTTCTTTTTCAATCTCAGAGTTGTTCGTGTCCTCAAAAATTAATTTTTTTGTTGCGTTAACCCTACCAGAGGTCCCACTTGACTCTGCGAGTTCTGGTTTGGCATCGATACCAATAACTGACTCGGTATTTTCTGGCACCACCACAGAGGATGCGGTGTCACTTGGAAAAGTAGCGCTGATTTCGGTTGAAACCACTGCAGAAGAATGTAAAATTTTGTCAACTTTATTGTTAGATGGGATTTTTTCCTCCGTCACTGTGTTAGTCGTGGTGGGCGTCGAGTCTAATAACGATGGAGCAGTGACTGTTGTGGCGGTCGGAGGAGTACTGTCATCTACTGTTCTAATCGGATTATCTGTTGTCTTATCTTCAATATCTGTTGCTTCTTCTAGATCAGTCTTCTCTGACGTATCAGGCATCGTCAGAGTATTTGGTTCAGCTTCTCCTGCGTTGGTTTGGTCTGTGGATGCAGAAATAATCTCTACTGAGGCACTGGATGTGCCAGTAGAAACGTTTTGGATGTCTCTGTGTAATGGGGTTTCACTTACTAATAGGGCATCACTTACTAATGCGGTATCTCTTATCAATGGGGTATCATTTACGGATGGCATTTCACTTACTACTGCGGTATCACTTACTAATGAGTTCTCGCTTACTACGGGGTTTAGCGTTGTTGACCTGGTGTTCTCAGGTACTATTATGGAGGAACCTTCGGCTCGTTTCCGACGTCTCTTCGTAGTTGATTCATTCCGGGTCAATTCAAGGTAATTACCATCTTCACCATTGCTGATGATGACGGTTGGTCTGTTGTTTGATTCCAGACTTGGAAAGGTTTTAGTTTCATTTGAATCACGATCTTTTGTATATTTCTGGTCTGTGTGATGATGGTGATGTCGATTATGATGATGATGTTTGTGTTTGTCAGTTGATGTATTGGATATTGAAGCATGATCTAACATGGTGACCCGAACAGTAGAGATATTAGTTCCAATATCGAGGTCTTCGTCGACCAAGGTCACATAATCGTCATCGCTACTTTTATTCCGACCTTTATGCTTTTTTGTGGGTAGTTTCACCTCCCCATTAGATAATATCTCCGTTCCATCCCATATTTTGATGGATTTCATGCCATCGACGGGCATGGTATTGTCATCGAGCAAAGCTGTGTCGAAGAACACGCCAGCTTGATCCTCCAACGCACTGCGGTTGAGATACTTGAGGTGGATGGCGGTGTGGTTGAGCATCAGGGGCATGGATATACTTAAGTTTAAATACATCATGTAGATGTTAACGAAGCCAAGAAAAGCCATAAAGACGAGGATGTATCTTGCGGGGGGAGACCTGTCGCCATTTTCTTCTTCCTCTGTCGTCATTGTGGCTGCTCCTGACTCCACTCCGTAGCCTGGAAAATTGTCTAATATTAGAAAAACAAATACAAATGTTCTACTTATCAAGACTAAAATTGAAGGTAGTCTGCACTACACGGTGATATTTTTTTCAATTTTAAGATAACCAACGAGTGGGCAACAAAAAATGGACAGGATAGATGTACAGCCATAAGTGACTTTTTCAAGTACGCATTAGAAATGAAATGAAATGTTGAATTTCACGGCAGTGATGGAAGCAGCAGCTTGACAGAGGCATGAAGTAACGTGTTCATGCATCGGCTGAATTTCAACACAAGGATGCATATCAGCGCGACGCTGCATTTCACCGTAATTCTGCATATCAGCACAGGAATGCATTCCAACGCGACGCGGCATTCCAATGCAATTCTGCATAGAGAAAAGGACTGCATTCCAGCGTGACGCTGCATTTCAGTGCAACATTGCATTTCAGCGCAATTCTGCATATCAGCAGAGGACTGCATTCCAGCGCGACGTTGCATTTCAGCGCAGCGCCGCAGCTTGCGACGAATTTTCTTGCACTTTTTCTCGCGTTCTCCGAAGTCGGCAACGCGAAGGTCAGAGCATCAAAGACAACCCCCCCCCACCCCCCTCCCCCCGTCAGGGGTTGCGGCTAGGAGGCAAGGGGGGAGGCAAGGGGGGAGGGAACCGCGCAGGAATAATAGTGAGGGAAATGGTATTAAAAAGAGTAATAACAAGACGTGAATGTTCCTGAATAATGGAGATCTGAATAACAAATGAATGCTTGAGTTTGTAAATGGCAATGCGGTATGTTAGTTTGGTATGTGGTAAATTGCAGGTAATTGCGGTATGTTCACTCCTATCAAGTTTATTTACCTCGAGCTTATTTCACGAAAACATATAAATCTAAAGCTCAATAAACCAATTAGTGGTTTAATGAGCTTAAAATTAATATAAAATTAAACCAAAACCAAGTAAATCCATTTGCGGTAGAGCAGACATTGGTCGATGAGCAGCCGCGCTATATGAGGCCAGCTCCCAGCCAACAGCAGCGGTAAACTCGTCTGCAGCTTACGCTCCCAGCCAACAGCAGCGGTAAACTCGTCTGCAGCTTACGCTCCCAGCCAACAGCAGCGGTAAACTCTTCTGCAGCTTACACTCCCAGCCAACAGCAGTGGTAAAGTACCATGACGGGACCAGTTGAGCCGCCGGGAATTTTCCCGGCACAGTCAGACGAAGATGTTGAGTCAGCGCTGACCCGTGGGTTGGTTCTGCCTTCCTGCGCTCATGCTTCCAATAACCACGAGGCGAAAGAAACGCGTGCGCAACGTAAATATGTTGCGCATATCCGACGCATCAACGGCGCATACCTCTGTCACGATTCAGGAATGCATCTGTCACATGAGAGACGCATCAAATGTGTATCGTTGACGCATCTGTGACGCACGTTTAACGCATGCGTGAATCATGTGTGATGCATGATTGACGCATCTGAATAAATCATGCGCATTGATTTAACCTTAACGCAACCTCCACCGTCAAAATGATTTGCCCGGACGCTCCTTCCTGCAACTTTAGCCGCGTCGAGCAGCGATCTGAACCTAGCCTAACTAACCAAACTTACCTAACCTAAACAATACGCTGTTGTGCTCATAGCCGCCCATGTGTTTGTTCTAGGTCCTAGGAGCCTGTCGCTTGCGGAGTTAGTGGCGTCACAGGCGCGATGTTAAGGTTAACTCCTGCAAAATTGCAGCTGCAGTCTGTTTTTATAACATCACTGAGTGACGTTACGTATACGTCTTATTTTCAACGAAATTTGTGACACAACGTTGTTCTGCGGTACTGGAGCACAAAGCGTAACGCCCCCTCAGACAAAAGACACTCAAAGTGCATTATATTAATTTTCAGATGGCGTTAGGTTTTACGTTTTAGACACTGCGTAAGCTCAGAGCTCTTACCATGGCGTAGCAAATTACGTCAAACGTAATGCGTTTACGTGACGCGACTAAGTGGTATAAAAACAGCCGTAAGCGGCTCAAAATCCATAATACTGTAGTCCGTAAACTCGTTTCATGTAAGAAGACAAATCTTTAGCATTGATTGAGCTTTTTCATAAGAGACAACTTCAGCTTATATATTCGGAATAAATGGAAATGGTACCTTGTGCCAAGTGCAAGATACGTGAGAGATCGCAGATGGTTTTGCATTGGCTAGACAGCATAGAAGAGAGACTAATCGAAATTTCAAACTCTCCTAGTAACATTTTGTTTAGACCTTCAGTCACTCGTTCTGTTTGGGGTGAGATTTACCTGGCAGTTCATGTCTTACCTGTAGTTAAGATGTGCCTTACGAGCGAAACGTTACAGCTTCATTTCGTTCATAATTTATGAAATTAGTTTTGGTTATATCCTTTATCAAAATCTTTAACACTCATTTCCTTGGTAAAATTCTGTACTACGACTAGCAGAAACTATGTTGTCCGAAAGACCGTCAATATGTAACCTTCGCATAAGCCAAGGGCTTAATAGAGGATACGATTGAGTTTTGCCTAGCTACTATTCCTCGTACGAAACGCTGCTACCAGTCGTTTGTTGGGTCTATTACTTTTGGTTAGCTTTGATCAGTTATGCGTTAGTTAGATTTTAATTTACGCAGGTCCATTGTAAGGTCCTCCTTAGGTTGGGTCCATTGGTTACCTCCTCCTTAGGTTAGGTCCATTGGTTACCTCCTCCTTAGGTTAGGTCCATTGTAAGGTCCTCCTTATTGAGTTCCCAACAGGATCCGCTTTCGAGTCCGCAGCGGGGTCCACAATGCGGTCCGATTTTAGGCCCGCAGAATAATACGCAAATGGAACGGCACTAAGAAACAAAGAAGTGTTTGGAATAGCATTTGCAGTATTACCCGTCGCAAGATTAGCAAAGCGTGGTAACATACACTTCTCAGTGACTTAAATTTGCGGTAATTCTATAATGTATGCGGCAGACGCACGTACTTTCTGGCTGGTGGAACGTGGCTTGTTAGTCGCTTGATGGAACCCTTTATTGGACACGTGATCACACTTGGCCGCTTAGTTTAACTCTTTATCAGGCATGTGGTCACACTTTGCCGCTTAGTTTAACTCTTTATCAGGCATGTGATCACACTTGGCCGCTTAGTTTAACTCTTTATCAGGCACCTCATCCCACTTGACCGCTTAGTTTAACTCTTTATCAGGCACTTGGTCACACTCGGCCGTTTGATGGAACCCTTGATCCCACATGGCCGACAAACCAAAAGATCACTCCCTATGCAGCGTCGAAATTTCCTTAATATAACGCATCTGGCGGCGGCCGCGGAATGTATGGCCGTGCATACGGCGACGATAGTTAAACGTGATGACGTATGATGCCTGTGAATGTCAACAGTTCCTCACTCCTTATTTGAGATTCTCAACCCAACGATCAGTTTAAAAAAACTTGACATTTATGATCTTTGTCGAAAAACTTACTGAAAAACACTTCAGTTAAATTCCTTGTGTGTGTGTGGCAACCACGGTACACGTCACGGTGTGTGCTGCTACGGGGATCGTACGTACTATGCGGTGATCTTAAGCAGTGGGTGAAGAGTTCAATTCTTGTCGTAGCTGACGAACCGTATTGTGTGTCTTGCAAATACGGGTGTGATGCGCACAATACAGAACATCACAACACATCACAGCTCATCACAGTACATCACAAAACATCACAGCACATCACAACACATCACAGAACATCACAGCACACCACAACACATCACAGCACATCACAGAACATCACAGCACATCACAGCACATCACAGCACATCACAAAACATCACAACACATCAAAGCACATCACAGCACATCACAGAACATCACAGTACATCACAACACATCAAAGCACATAACAAAACATCACAACTAATAGGAAAGTTGTTTACTGTTCTTTTCCCTACTTTGGACCCGCATCTGAGACTATGTCAAAGGAATTAAAAGTTTTATTTGCCAAATATCTTCCGGATGTAAATCTTCATGTGTTGCTGGTTAACAATTTTAGAATCGGCTCTTTTTTCAGGTATAAGGATACCCTACCTGTTCTTATGCGATCGCCACTAGTTTACAGATATAGTTGTGCGCAGTGCGCATCAGCGTACGTCGGTATGACGGCACGCAATTTCTATACTAGGCTGGCTGAGCATAAGGGCAGGAGTTATAGAACAGGGAACCTACTTGCACATCCACCTCATTCAGCTGTACGTGTTCATGCCGAGCAATGCAACACCTCTGTATCTGATAGTGATTTCAAAATTCTAGCTTCCGCATCCGGTGTTAGTGATCTACGAATTTTAGAATCCCTGTTTATATTCAAACAGAAGCCTAGTCTGAATGCCGCTTTTAGCTCCTTTCCTCTTGAAATAGTAAATAGATAGGCCGTTTACGTTTACTAGCATTATTTTCATGTGTCTTATCTATTTATTTTTAGTGCATTTACTTTACTAATTGATTTATTTGTGTTTCTAGGACTGAACTTTTTCTGAACAGAATTTTGTGGTTTGAACTGACGATGGAGCTGGACTCCGAAACGTTTTCTTTTATAAAGATATGGTGAATTTTTGTGGTATTTTCTTTGCTTTTAAATTCCTGGACATCAAAACACATCACAGCACAGCATATCGCAACACATCACAGCACATCACAGTAACTGTACTCACTCTGCGTCTGGTCCCTGAAGTGCATCCTGGCAGCTCGGCCTGTAAAAAATATGTGTTATTAGTATCATTATTACCACTATGATCATGAGGCTTATTATCATTATTATTAATTTGAATTATTAAAGTGGGTTTCGTAGTAATTGTTATTTGTTATACACATATTATGGTATCATCATTGATATTTGTGATGAGTCTGGCCGTCTGAGGTCAAGTCTGGCAGTCTGAGGGCAAGTCTGGCAGTCTGAGGGCAAGTCTGGCAGTCTGAGGGCAAGTCTGGCAGTCTGAGGGCAAGTCTGGCAGTCTGAGGACAAGTCTGGCAGGC